GCTAACATTCTCCTTTCCCTTCCTCGCCCACAACAAAGACTCTGTGAGGTGAGTGGGGCTGAGAGACTTCAAAGAAGTGTGACTGGCCCAAGGTCACCCAGCAGCTGCATGTGGGGGAGCGGAAACGCGAAGACGGTTCACCAGATTACAAGTCCACTGCTCTTAACCACTACACCACACTGGGATTACTACCAACTCTGGGACAGTGTTAAGAGATGATCCACCAAATTCACTGAGGATAAGGCTATCTGTGGCTCTAGCCACAAGGGCTATGCTCTGCCTCCACAGACAGTGGTAATATACCTCTGAATACCAGGTCTGGAAACTACAGGAGGGGAAGATTGTTGTTGTGCCAAGATCCTGCTTGCAGGCCTCTCATAGGGGTCTGGTTGGCCACTATGAGAACAGGATGCTGGACTAAATTGGCCACTGGCCTGCTTTAGTGCTGCTCTTTAAGTAAAAGGTGGAGGAATGGCCTGTCCATTTCTGGCCTTTCATGTTTGTTTGTTTTTTTTAACTTTTCATTTTCTCACTCATTGGAATCTTAGAATTGTAGAATTAGAAGGGATTCCAAGGGCCTTCTAGTCTACAATAAAAGCTCAACTTTTAGGAAGTAAAAACTGTGGAATTGGTTTTCTGGAGCAGATATTAAAACCTTAATGTAATCACCATGGATTATGCAGCAGGGAAAGATCCACGATATAAGATGATAAACATTTGTTACCTTGACGTAACAGTTTGCTTTGCAAGCATTTCCCCAGAAACCCGTACAGCAGGTTGTAGGCACTCTGCACTGACTTCTCAATACTTCCAGAATAGCTAGCCTTTTAGTTAAACTTTGAGCCAACAATACATCCATGACAGTGATGGTGTCAACTGCAAGGGAGCAGGAACTCTAGATCAGGGGTCAGCAAACTTTTTCAGCATGGCTCCACTGTCCCTCAGACCTTGTATTTTGAAGAAGAAAAATAACGAATTCCAATGCCCCACATATAACCCAAGATGCATTTTAAATAAAAGCACACATTCTACTCATGTAAAAAACATGCCCCACAATTAACCCAGAAATGCATTTTAAATAAAAGGGGGCCAGATTTAGAAGGCAATTGGGCTGGATCTGGCCCCTGGGCCTTAGTTTGCCTACCCATGTTCTAACGCATTAAGCCAAGAAGGGCTATCCTGTATTCTCAGGTCTCAAGAGCAAAAAGAAAGATATAACAAAAGGTGGAAATGTCTATTGCTTAAAACCTACTGTGCATTCTGATGCATGTTTACTCAGAGGCAAGCCCCACTACATTCAGTGGGGCTTACTTCCAAGAAAGCATGCATAGAATTGTGATCTTACCAACTCTCCCTAATCTCACCCCCAACCCCACCCCAATTTCTTTACATGTGAAATTGTAGGTTATCAATTTATTATGATTCGAATTGGTCGGTCCTTCCGGGGTTAGGAGAAATTGTACTGGAGGTTGGACCTAGACCCCAGGTTGTCAGTTGGCCATACCTGCATTCTGCCATTCTTAATGGAATATGGTTCATAATGCGGAATCTGGTGCTCCTGGAGATTTCCTGCTATACAGAAGTATGCCTCTAGCCCTCGTGTCTGCAGGGAAGGGGCAATTATTATAACGAGAGTAGCTGCTAAAAAGGGTTTAGGAATCAAATGGTACCTAGGTGGGGCCTTCACTCATCATTTAGGACCATTTTTCTTTTCACTTATTAAAGACAGCCTGAGCAAGGCTGCATGGATTAATTAGCACATCAGAAGACCTCTGTGAAAAATGGAAAACTCAAGAAAAAAGAGAGATTGCCAGGATGGTTACATAATGTAATGCAATTAGATGCACTGTTCTGATGAATGTAACCTATGTATATTATGCACATAATTCTTCTGCTGCAGGGATGTGCTATAGGAAGTAAAATTACACAGACATACACAAAAGGTAGCCAACCCAAATTCGCTGATGGATAATACAACAATCTCTATTGTGGAACTGTAAAGACAATTAGATAATAAAATTTCATTAATTTTAGCCAGCTTTCTTTTGTTGTCAGATAAAATGTATTTGTTTAAGCCAAGGGGTCTCAATAAATCATTACAGAATTACTTAGTAATTCACATTCAATTTAAAAATAAGGCATGAAATGGGAGTAAAATGCCAATGTTGTTGTTTTTTTTGAAAAAGAATCCCAGTTCTTAAATTGTATCTATCTCCTTGCAATGCAGTTGAACAGCTCCTAATTTCTGCTTTACTGTGCATGGCCCTTTGAGTCACTGCAGACATAATATAATTCTATCTGCACATATTGGAGCACCCACAATACGACAGTACTGCACAGCAAAGTTTATTATACATCTGTTTATTTCAGTACAATCATATCCCACCTTTCTTCTTTCAAGCATCTCAAGATGACATACTCAAAGTGGTTCCCAGAAGATCTCCCATCCAGAAAATGACCAGACCCAGACCTGCTTAGCAGCAGCATGGTGACTGCATCATGTGCCCCCAGACCACATGGGGGCAGGAGTGTGGTGGAGTCTCCTTCTTTGGAGGTCTTTAAGCAGAGGCTTGACAACCATATGTCAGGAGTGCTCTGATGGTGTTTCCTGCTTGGCAGGGGGTTGGACTCGATGGCCCTTGTGGTCTATTCCAACTCTATGATTCTATGATTCTATGATTCTACCATGCCCTGGACTAAGGGGAACTAGATCAATGAGACACAGCTGACATGGCATACAAGGACTACTTATAGGAGCTGCTGCTATACCTTTTCTGGGACTTTTCCTTGTGCTGTTGTTGTTGCTATACCCTACCCATCTGATTGGGTTGCCCCAGCCACTCTGGGTGGCTTTCAACAAATATAAAAGCATAATAAAATACTAAACATTTAAAACTTCCCTATACAGGGCTGCCTTCAGATGTCTTCTAAAAGTCAGATAATTATTTCTTTGACATCTGATGGGCGGGTGTACCACAGGGCGGTTTCCACTACCGAGAAGGCCCTCTGCCTGATTCCCTGTAACTTCATTTCTTACAGTGAGGAATCCACCAGAAGGTCCTTGGAGGAGGACCTCAGTGTCTGGGCTGAGCGATGGAGGTGGAGACGCTCCTTCAGGGCTGAGACCATTTAGGGCTTTAAAGGTCAGCACCGTATGTTCCAAGTACACAGCCATTAAATCCTCTCCATTTTCCATGGCTTGCTAGCCATAGATGGTATCAAGCATCACTGCAAGCTAGCGAGCATGGATCAATATAGATAACTTTTGCTCCCAGCAGCCCCAAGTTAAATCTAGCTAGGAATTCGATTTCTAACCCTTAATGATTCTAAAAGTGATTTGGCACCCAAGGCTACAGATAATTTGCAAACCACGGGTGCAGTTTCTTCTATCACTAAGTTGTCCTTAGAAAGGTGAATTAGTATCTCACTGCCACCTAATTATTGAACTCTCTTTTCCCTCCTCTGTCTCAGTCCTATCCAAGTTATGATTCCTGTATGTGTGTGTTTGTGTTTCCTGAAAAAGAGCATTCCAGGTTATCAGATTATCTTAGAAGAAGCCCTCCACTCAAAGATGCTTCTTATAATCCTAAAAGCATCACATTATAAAACCAAAATGCAGTCTAAACTGAAGGAGAATGGAGAGAAGAAACAGCTGGCATGTGGGGAGGAAACCTGAATAATGTCTTCTGTATAAAATTATTTATTGGCTTTGAATGGGTATCAACACATTTGGCTGTATTCTCATAGGGTTTCTCCGGTGACCAAGATAAATTATAGGGTTGCCTATTTAGAGAACAGTATCCTCTGGAATTATTCAGCTTGTGACTGAGTCATTAGAGGAGCAACATTGATTCAAATCCATTTGCTGGGATGCAGATCTATAGTTTATTATTTCTGTCGCACTCCTCAGTGTACAGATTTCTTCTCTTATTCATGAAGTCGGATTAGGCTGAAAGGCAGTGACTTGCCTGAAGGGCATCTACAGGTAAGTCACTTTCATGGCTGAGAGAAGATTGTAGACTGGATCATCTTTGTTCAAAGCTCTCATAGCAGGCTGCCCTTGATTTTTTGCAATAGGTTCTGTGTTCCTGGGAAAATCTCTCCCTCTAGTGCCACCACTTGGTCCCTGCCATTGGTTCATGATACCTTGCTACAATGTTGGAGCTTGATCTCCCTCATTACTGTAGTCTACTATAAGCCCAATCACTACAAATGCCTATTCAGAAAAAAGGGCAAACCCATACAAGCTGTTCATTTGCACAATATTTGGTCATTATTCCACATATTCTAGTGCATTTTCTGGTCGTGTTTCATTGTCACAAGGGTGAAGAAGTGTTTTAATCCACTTTAGATATGTGAACACAAGTTCAGGTACGCGATGTAATAATACTGACAAATCTGGAGGTGTCCAGAGGTATCCTGGGATGTCCAAATATCCAAGATAATCCCAGAGGCTTTGGAAGCAGCCTGATTCAGTCTGTGACCTTGCATTGGACACCCGCCTTAGAAGAGCCCCAGTTCTCTTCAAATCTCCCTGATTTGGCTCAGGATTCAAGGTTTGTCTGAAGCAAATGTGCACACCCCTAGTGTAAACCCTCCTTCCGAGATGGATTGTCTTCTACAGCTCCTTAAATGATCCCTTGTTGCATTCTGCATGTAGAAACACATGCTGCTTCACTTACCTGTCTCATGTAGCAATTTACTAATTTGGAAGAAAGGTTGTGGAGCAGCTAGAGAGTTTTAAAGTGTAAAATGCAGGTGATGGATTAGAAAGTGGAAAACGATAAACAAGAAATATTCCACATATAATCTGTTGCAAGGTGGTATCAAAGGCCCCAAGCAACTGGTTTCAGCCAAATGTGTCCAACCCAGCTTGGAGTTCTTCCCAGCAGCATGCTGAAAGGTAAATGATTAGGATTTGCAGCAAGGGATGCTCAAGTGACTTGTCTCTGTGGTCTCATGTGGACAAGGGATTGAGGCTCCCTCCCTTGTCTTTTCAGGATGGATGACATCCAGCTTTGTAAGGAAATCACCAGATTGAAAAAGGAGTTGCAGAAGCTGATTGCAGTGCCAGGTAAGGCCCAAACCCATGGCAACTCTCCCAGGGAGTGAGTTTTCTTAGCACCTTGTTTTCCATAAAGCTTTGTTGGTGCCATTCCCATGTACTGAGGTATGAGGAGCTTGTGACCTCCAGCTATTGCTCAAATACAACTCCCATCACTCCCATCCACTGGCCATGTTGGATGGGGCTGATGGGAGTTGGAGTCCAATAACATCTGGAGGGTTGTGGATTCCCCACCCCTACCCTATTCACCAGTGGGCTTTGCCATTTACAGGATCTCTTGGCCTCCAATGCACTAAGCTAGGAGAGAATGTTGCAAAGGAATGTGAATTAAACAGGCCAATGCAAAGTTATCCTAAGGCTTTTCTTGTCTCCGAGATGCTTGGCTAGCTTTGGAATCTGAATATTTAAATGTTAAGCAAAGCAGGAGGAGAACCCAGGCATCTCAGAACAGGTGAAACTCACTAAAGCTGTATAAAACCCATTCTGCCACAACCATCATGGGGGAAATAATAATAGTTTTATAAATATGTACTGCCCATAGCATTGTCTGCCACACCTAGTCCCAGTTAAGGGATGCCGTCATTAAGAAGGGAATAAAGGTTAGAAAAAGCCGAGAAGAACCTTCATGAAAGGTTGGGAGGATGTAAGAGCCTGTGGGAAGGAACAAAGATTTACAACCATCCATAGGAGGTCATAGTGGGAACCACCACTATGTTTGGTTGGAGATGTATAGACAGCGGGCTGCAAGTTGGTCCTGAAAGTCGTTGTCTGGAATCCTTGTATCCTGAACCACAGCCCAAATGTTTAAATAAAGTTTCTCAAGTCCAAGGTGCATCCTCCTTTTCTTCATGGTGCAGCTTGATCAGTACCAACTCACTCTCTGTTTGTGCAACAGTGCCCTACAACATGGGTCTTCATCCTCCAGGTCCTGTCCACTGCATAGCTTTGAGACTTTCAGCCCTGCCACTCTGCTTCTCCTGCCCCTCAACCACTTCCACCTCCACCAGAAAGCCTAGATGTCCTTATGAAGGGGCTACTCAAATGCTGCTTATCCATTGCTGGAAAACAGTTGGGTGCATACTTTATATTTATCTATTATCTAAGTATTTTAAAGTGTGTGGATGGGTTTTTGGAAGACGCCTGCGCATGAATTTGTTCTATGTGTGGAGATCAGTGCATGCTGATAAATGCACGGTCTTCACAGTCAGGCTCTATTCTGAGGTCGTGAGTATCATGACGATCAGTAGTTTCTTATCTGCCATAGCCCTCGTCCTCCTTCACAGCCATTGTAACATAACAACATTGTTGTCTTCCACCTCTTCTGCCCTTGAGGACTTCTTGGATCATTCGTTGTCTAGCTTCTCCCCTTTGACCTTATCACCTTGGGTGACCCTACTGGGAGTATGAGACTCCTGACGGCACATAGGAACGTGCAAGTCCATTCACCATAACAAGGTGATGATTCTACGAGTGAGATCTGGCCTGCGAGAATAGCCTCTACCAAAGGCATCATGGACTTTGAAGAAGCATGGACTTGGGAAGAGAGGGAGAAACGAGCTCCAACTCTACAAGTCTACAATTCTGTGAATCAGTTAATTACAGAGCAGTCTAAATTCAAGGAAGAGTAGAGAGGCTGATCCACTGTCACATTTTGACCTCTACAAGCTTCAGAATTTGTCTTTCCTTTTTGCTAGTTCAGCTACAGGTTGATGTAGCTCCACTGAGCTTTTGATTCAGCAACACAAGAAACACCTTAACATTATGTATAAGATGCTCAGGAAAACAAAATCAAAAAGGTATTGAAAGGATAGTAAGGTAAGTGCCAGGCAAACCTTTCTGGGGAAAGTGTTCCATCACTAGGATGCCACTACTGAGAGGGCCCTGTGTCAGGCAGGGGACACCCACATATCTCTTGTGCAATCCATTTGTTGTTATTCCTCTGCCATTAACCTATTGCTTTGTGGGTTTCCCCCTATTTTGCAGAAAATAAAAAATCTAAAGAAGACAAGCAGCAGGAGGAGGAGCTAGTGCAGCAGATTCACAAACTTGTGGAGACTCGAGATTTCCTGGTGGATGACGTGGAGTTTGAAAGGCTCAGGTACACATGGATACCAACAGCTGTGCCAGTTTCCTGGCTCCAGCTCAGTGTTGGCATGCACCCTGTGCTGTTCAGCATACCCAGGGGTTATCCCATTTTATCCCCACAACAACACTGTGAAGTAGGTGAGACTGAGTGAAGGTAGCTGGCCTGGAGTCACCTCGAGTATTTGAAGATAATTTTATCCACTAACTATTTGGTTGGGGTACGCAGGCAGACTTTGCTTCTGTTGCCTCCTCAGTTCCACACAGGGCAATTGTAAATGTGTGTGCTGTTAAATTCATTGTCACATATTGTTTTGTTTTTTTAAAGGGACTTTTCCAAAGGTAAGGTAAAGAGGTGGAGGCAGGGCTTACTCTACATCACTCACCAAAAACTCACCAAAAACTCAAATCATTGTCTCCAGGGATGATCAACCTTTTTGATCTGTAGATTTAAACCATTGCTTCTGGACAGTATTGCAATATTGGAGTCTAGGCAGATTAAAAAATAATAATAAAGGGCAAGAAACAAAGGCTTGGAGTACTGGTACAAGCAGGGAAAAGGAGCTGTGCATGTCAGTGAAGCACCACTCTTTCTGAAAGCAAATATTCCCTGGAGCTAAGAAAGAATAAAAAAGCAGCCTTGTCCTTCACAGAGATCTGAAGAACAGTAATTCAGGATACCTTGACTCTAACCTATCTGGATTATAGCCATACCTTCACACACACCAAGCAATGGTTGCTTATTGCTGGGATGCAAATCTCATCCACAGAGTAGTAACCAATTTCCTCCTTCCACAGAGAACGAGAAGAAGACAAAGAAATGGCAGAGTTTTTGAAGACCAGGATTTCCAAAACCTGCCTTCCGAAAACAAGTAGGTACTTGGGAGTGAGCAGCCTCCCTTTCTGAAATATAAACACTTTCCACTGCTGTGTGTATGTAGGAACAGGGTTGTGTTTCCTCCATGCTATATCTTGATTCTCTTTCATCTTTTTCTCTATCTCTATTGCACCAAGAAAAGTTGAAATCTGTAACCTCTGTAAATGATGCAAATTTGCATAATTTAGATTAGGTGTTATGATTCTGCACTGTTTGCTCTTTTGCATTCATATATCTGGGTTTTGCTATCTTGCACGACTGAATCCATTGTGCATAGATGCTGCTCCAGAAGGGAAGCCATTTGTGTGAAGAGGTTCCCGTGCAGTCTGGATAATGTCCATCAGCCAGGACACACACACACACACACACTAGAAGACTAGAAGACTGAGACTAAGGAAGATCAAGCTTACAGCCAGTGTCATGCCCTGGACTGGCTGTAAGGAAGCAGACAGGTGGAGGTCTGGTTGAGGGCAGACAGAGGTTGGCAGTGCCCCATTTGCCCATATGAACAATCTTCCACTGGTTGGTTATGGGCCAGCTTTAAAGCTCACACCTTCCATATGAGATGTGTGGACCCCAGATGCAGACACCTGCTTACCTCAGGTAGATTGGTGGCTATCATAGGGCCTGAGCATGAGCCCCTGTTCCCATAGCAGTAACTGTTGGTTCCTTCACAGCTCCAGTAAAAGAAAAGAGGATGACCTCAAGAGGACAGCAAACCTCTACACCATATGTAACAAAGACAGGTCTCACCCTTCTGAAGGAATGCTGTGGCTTCACCTGCTCGGTCATGTAGGCTGGGGCTGTTGTCCATATTGCCCACCCCACCCACCCCGAAACGCAAAATACATTCATGGGCAAACCCTGCCCACCCACACCCCGGTCAACTGGATCCATTCAACTCATACAGAGTCACAAACTTCAGGAGCAGGGACAAGGGATTCTTTTGCAGATGACATGGACATTGAAAGCACATGTGGAAACTGCCGGGGGCCCAAAGGCAGGGCCAGCATCCACCCTCCTGCCGACCAAAACCAACCCACACAGTCAGGGTGGGCATCATAAGCAGAGAGCCAGCATGCGTGCTGCCAAGTGGGAGGGCCAAACCACAGACAAAGATTTCAGCCTGCTGCCTTTTTCCTGCCCTTTAATAGGGCGGGCAGGGAGAAAACAGGAGCCCCCAGTCAGGATACTGTTTGCAGGCTGGCTACAGGGTGGTGAACCAGAGAAGGTTTCAGGCAGGAAAATATTGTTGCCAAATGCACACAAACAAATGCACACAAGCACACACATGCAGACACAAACAATATGGAAGGACCGAGCCCTTCTGATAGTTTAAAAGCAAGAAGAATCAGCAGGACTAATACAACACTCTCTGCCCACCTCCCCCCGTCTCTCTCTCACACAACCCCGGCCTCTCAGTAATGTGGATGTTGCTCCTCTTCATTCCTTCTCTGATTAGCAGGTTACATCGAAACCGCCATGAAGTTACCTAGCAACTGTGGGGCACTGAGCCTTTCACCGTATCATCTCTGCGGCCGCTTCCATGTGCAGAATGATGGCAATCTGTTTAAGTTTATTCTTAAATTACCGCCCAGCAGCAGTCTCATTCACAGCGATCACCAGCTCTTCATTCTTCATTCTGTTCAGCGCAAAGACGGGTGGCTAATTAAATGCTGCTTCAAACGGTGTGTGAAAATGGGTGTAAGGAGTATGTGCAGAGGAGAGACTACCATGTGTGAATGTCTGTTTTGATGTCAGCTACACCTTCTGGGAAAATAGGTGCTAGCATGGTCTTCACATAGGATGGTGTGCAGAGATATTGACATGCATAGTTCCCCCATCCCTATAAGGGAAAAGACACATATTAAGCAGCCCGGAGAGTCCCAGAAACAATGGATTCCTAAACCATCCCTAGCAGGACATCCAGTGTCCTCCTTTAAATTTCTAGGGGTGGTTTCTACAGCAGCATCTACTGTATGTTCCCAATCTTTTAAAAATATATATATATAAAAATAACAAGAAAGCCATCCATAAAAATGTACTTCATATCCGTTTGCTACAACTGAACCATCACCTGCTGCTTCTTGTCTTTTCCCTTAGTTGCAAACTTGCACTCTTCCTCTGTTTTATGGCAGCCATTTATATATTTGAAAAGTGCTCTTGCGCCCTCTGCTTCCTGCCTTGAACTCTGTGGCCCTTCTTCTTGAGATGCCTCATTCTACCGCCAATTGGTCAAACTGGAGCACTTTCACACTTCAAATCTAGGAGATGGGATGTAGCTCACTGGTGGAATATCTGCTTACCATGCAGAAGGTCTCAGCTTCAATCCGTCCAGGGAGGGCTAGGAGAGACTCCTTGACCGAAGCCCTAGAGAGTCACTGCTGGTCAATGTAGATACTAATGAGCTAAGTGGACCAAGAGTCTGACTTGCTATAAAGCAACATCCTATGTATCTAAACAGGCTGTCCAGAGCATTCTCTTCTCCAGGTCACTTTCTCACAGGTCTCCAGGAAATTGCCAAGGCATTCCTGAGAGCTTCAGCCTTCCTCTCTACTGCTCATGCTTCTGGCACCAAGGCAAGTGGTGAGCACTTCTCTCGGGGGCAGAAAAAGCCAAAAGCTTGGTCTTCCAAGCTGTCATCTTTATGACACCGAATGCCACTTGTGTTAGAGGGACCGGGCCATGAATTGAAATTGTGGAGGTCTGTTTGGCTGTCAAATTGAAGTGAAGCCCAGCTGCAGAATCTCTGTGCATTCATTTCTATGCCTGAAGTGCTGCAGCTGGACAGAGAAGCACAGGGACCTCTGCCTTAGCATTATGTCCTCCTTTGATTTCCTATTTCCCAGCTTGGTGGAATAGCTTCTGGGGGGTATCCAGGATTGTTTCTCACACGCTTGGAGTTAGGGTGGCCATGCTTGGGAATAGGATAGACTTACTTTTTGAAGGCCTATCAGAGGACAGCCCTCTATTTGAAAGCATCCTCTATATCCGGTGTGGGGGAACTTTCACCTCTCCAGAATCTGCTAACCTACAACTCCCATCAGCCCCAACCAGCATGACCAATGACCAGGGATGATGAGAGCTGCCGTTCAGCAACATCTAGAAGGCTGTCTGGTCCAAGTCAGGTTTAAAGATAAAGAACTCCAAAAACATGGAATGCCTGGGCAGCAAAATGGGCACAGGTCATCTTGCCACAGTCTTCCCTGGTATGGTGAGATGTATTGTATTTCTATTTAAATTACAGTAACTATTTCTAAGCTTTCGTCTATACATATAAATGATCATATGCACATTTTATGCAAATCTGTGTTCTCTTTTCTCCTTTTTGATTATGCATTTTGTGATGCTTAAATGGCCACCCTATCTGGCAATGGTTAAAAGATCAAACCCCAAAGGTCAGAGGTCAAGGCTGGGAGGGAACTGGGTGTCATATGAGCTCGGCAAGCAATGGCTAATGGGTGTAGTATGCACCCTTTTGTAAACACTACTTTCTTCACAAAATGAATTCAAGCTCAGGGGGCTAATGTGGATCAAAGGCTCAGATCAGAAACCTGTGCTAATAGCTTTGTGCTCCAGCTAGGAAGGAAAATGAAAATCGCAGCTGCAAGAAGTGAATAGCATAGTGTCCAAATGAGATGAATTGGAAGTGATTAGGATGAGATGAAGGGAGAAGAAGAAAGGCTACTGTTCTGAATGGCTAAGGCACACAGGATGCTATCTTCATAAGGGATGGCCACACATGGGCATGTATCAGTTATATGTGCCTGCCTGTCTTATATATACACTTATTCTAAGTCCTGGCAGGTCTCTTTCAGAGAAGGCTTGTCCAGAACCTTGATTTGGCTGTGGCTTTGCCAGAAACCATAGAATCATAGAACTGTAGAGCTGGAAGGGACCCAAGGGTCATCTAGTCCAACCCCTGCAATGCAGGAACCTATTTAGTGAATCCTTCAGAATGAACAGAAACCACCCCTTTCCCCACCTCACAAAGGAAAAGACACAAATGCCTTGAGTTTCTCTGACCCCATAAATGTGAATTCATCCGCAGTGCTGAGTTGCAGTTTTTTTGGATTGGCATCTTTTCAAATGCACACCTTGTACTGCTTTATCTTTTGTGCAGCGACATGCAGCTTTGAATTAATTGAGGCCTGGGGGTAGGAATGGGGAAATGGAAGGTGCGGGTTTGATCCCTGAACTCACCTAGCTTAAGGGCATCATATTTGGTTGCTCTCCAAATGGCTATGTATGAGTGGGAAAAGTAAGGCTCCCCAATTGTGAGAACAGGAATTTCTGAGGTATGCTCGTTCATAGTATCAGTTAATTTTGAAAGATGGGCACACACCTACTTTAAAGAAAGAGGGGAAGCCTTTCAAAACAGAATTTGCAGTGCCAGGAAGCAGAAAGAGCAGTGCAGTAGTTCTACACTAGCAAAGCCCTTCATAAGAATGTATTCCCTAGTGGAATAGTACACTGCAGCCTACTTTCACACACATCTGGCTCACATCTAGGCTGAATAGATAGATAGATAGATAAACTTTATTCGCATTAGCCAATGGCCATAGCAACATAAAACAAGCAATACATACAATTAAAAAGACAACAATGGGTAAAAAGGGCATTCAAATTACCAAGATTATCGTTCAGATAGTGGCCCTTAATCTCATTACACCCTCGATAAACCATTATGACATCTAGGTTTATAATGAGATACTGTACCAGCTTCTGGGACCTGTTTGTATCAAGTTGCACTGCTGTCAGCTCCCTTTGACGGAGGCCCAATTTAAGAACCTCATTAAAAGCTATGAGTTGCACTTGCCTGTCTGCATGGAGGTGTCTGGAATCATTAACTTCTCCTTACTTCTTTGTGAAACCCATTTGCTAATGGTGAAATAAGCTTCTTGTTCATGGGTCCCTTTTTATTATAGCAGAGGCTATAATGGCTTTTCCATGGCTACATCCAAGGGTTTCGTTAGCTAGTGGGTGGGCCACAGGGCTCAAAACCTGGTTCTTTTGCCCCAAACCCTGGGTCTCTTTCCCATTCCTCTGATGGATCTCTCTCTCTGTGTGTATGCATATGCAAATTTATGTAAATTTGTTGCATAGACATATGCCCTGAGTCCTTTAAAGAAGCTACCACTGCTGTAACATTGAACAGCTCTGCACCATGTGGGCAGGGCCAGTTGCTCCTGTCCTTCCTATGCAGTAATTGGCTTCCAGCGTAGTACGGTAATTAGAACTGAGGGCAGAGAGGGAAGAAGCCACATGGTCTCAGCTTCTGAGTGTGGCAGCCAGGCCATGAATGATGCCACAGGGAAGCAGTTCCCCTCCTGCTGCTATAACACACAGAAAGCTCCACAACAGGCTGTGTTTCTGTGTGCAGTCAGGACACTCTGCCAATATGGTGGTCGTTGTGAACACAGACAAGGGAAGAACTGTGGAATGTGCAGGTGTGTGTGGGGACCCCATCCTAAGCTCCGAGCTATTCTGATGGCTCAGCAGGGAGAGGTTAAGAGATTTGACCCCACCCGTAGCCTTGTCTCTGCAAGAACTGCTACAGGCTTGAGTTTGCGCAAGGGGTGCTTAAACAAGCCACCCACAGGCTGTCAAGATGGCAGGCATCAAAGAGCTGCTTGATGGGAAATCACTGAAAGCACCTTTGAGCTTACCCTCTCCATGAACCTAATGGGCAAGCGTGGTTCTTTCCATCAGATGAGGGTAAGTCAAGTTTGATATGTGGGAAACCACTTTTGTTCAGTGGATGGATGTGAAACAGCACCACAATCCCCATCCCTGCTCCCCATTCCCATCGCCACTCACTAGACACCTAAAATAAAATAATCTGCAAAACAATAATACCTCCCACACATCCCCAGATATACCTGCATATCCCTTAAAAGACAAGAGGTTGGAAAATATTACTTTCAGATACTTTCCAATTAATTTGTTCTATTATTGTGTATAATTGTTCTATCAGTTAATAGCAGACACAATCATTTCTTCCCTTTCCTCCTCCTAGACAGACATGATTCCATCTACAACAATATCGGTTCATCCATGCCACTTTCTCTCGCCACAGGCTCATAGCTCAGTTCCCTTAAATGACTGAGTCATTCATCCCGCCCACCCCACAGAAGCATTTGTTTATTTTTAAATCAATTTTTTAGCAGTATCAGTTCACCTCTTCCACACCATCAGTTTGAAAATGAGAAGGCTCTCTCTGAGTGGTTCAAAGTGATTGAAAGTGATTGCAGCCATGGAAGGGGAGGAACTTCGATGGATACAACTCAGCGGCTACAGAGGCACTAGTTAAAAAGTTCAGGGCTCTGAGTGTGCTGCTGAAGAGCAGGAGACCATCATGCTTGAGACTGTCAGAGAGGGGCTCCCAGAAAAACCGCCTGTACCATCAGGGCCAGAGCCAGGACCCTCACCTGAGTGTGAGGTACCAAATGCTTCCCCCCAGAACCTCACCACTCCAGCAGGGCAGGGCACACAGCAGGGGAGAGGCTATGGAACAGAGGGGGACTACCCATCTTCAGGCCAGAGAGCTGGCCCTTTAAGAACCTGAATAGAGCAGTAATGGGGAAGCTGTGGTGTTCAGTATGTTGTTCTTTGACATCTCCCATCACCCTTGTTCATTGAACATGCTAACGGTAGTTGTAGTTCAGCAACACCTGGAAAGTCAATGTTCCTAACTTATGTGGTAGAGCCTAGAAAAGTTAGTCTGGCTTTAAAGGCCTCTGTGTGCTTTAGGTCTAGGTGAAGCAAGTTGCTCACTTGGAGCTATCCGTGGTCCTGAAACTTCTGGCCTGCCTTGCTGCTTTCTCTATGGGGATTCCTTATCGAACCACAGCACAACAGCCTTCAGCAATCTGCCATATGTATCTCCAGCTGCCAGAAAATATATATTAATTTCCATTTTCCATCACTCCACAAGCTAATATAACAACAAAAGGTTTTGGAATTAGTGTCGACATGTTCCTGATGTAGCCAATAAATCACATTTCAAAATATTGCAATTTGTGAGGCCTTCTGTAAGTGTGAGGCAAACTGTGGGTGTATTTTAGCTTCCACCCACACTCCGTCTTTCTCTGCCATTTTTTTTTTGTTAGCAATCTATTCAAACTGCAGATTTTGAAGGGTGCCCAAGCAAAGTTACTCCCAGGCTATTGTCACCATGGTGTCAGGACTAAGATATTATTTTGCTTACCCATGATAGTGCATCCAAGATTCCTTTATCATTATAGAAGCGATGTGATTTCACAAGGGATCCATTGCCGCCACCCCTTTTAGAAGGATGAAAAGCTGGACAACTGCATTGCAGAACTTTGACATTTTCAGACAAAAAGTGAAATGTCAAAATGATCTTCCCACGTATGCTTTCGTTTAAATGACACAGAGAGATGGAGAGTGAATGCAGGAAAATGCTTCACATTGCATTGAGTAAGGCTGAACTTCTAAGCTCCATCCAGCATCTTATTATTTAAGAATGCTCATCGCAATAAGATTTTGGACATGTGTGAAGAATTAGAATTACCAAGCTAATAAGAAAATTTTGTTTATGTATTATCCTGCTTTCTCTATTAAAAAACAACAACACACCACAGCAGTTTATGTAATAATCCTTAAAATGCAGAACAATAAATCTCCCATAGTTAGAGATGTAAGGTTTTCTGCAGGGCCTAGATTCTGGCGTATGTAGACTGCAAAATAAAATGCAACCTGAAACATAACAGGGGGGAAATGACTTCACAGCATTTAAAGCCATTCATGTGTACACAGCCTTAGACTGCAACCCTGTGCACATGTACTTTGGAGAAAACCCAATTAAACACACTGGGACTTACTTTGGAGTAAAGATGCACACAGTCAGGTTGCATGAAGGAATAGGCTAGTCATAAGATCAGTGAACTGGATCAGATTCAATAGTCAAATATTCCCTTCTCAGTTCATCGAAATTCCCATAACAAATAAATTACTACACCATCCACATGAAGTGCTTCTTTGTGAACTCAGTCCTGCAAGGAAATCGGATTTGGGGGCTGTTGGTGCCAAAGGCGGCTGATGCCAAAGCCTGTTGAGGGAAGTGACGGCAGGAAGGATCAGCTTAATCAATCAAGAGACCTGTGAATCTGTGTGAGAATGTGCAGCCTCATAAGCAATGATGACACTGCAGCTATCACCCTCCATAAGCTCAAAGTTGAAACCCTCTTGTCTAAAGCATCCTCGCAGATGAGTCACCACAAGTCACTGGGTGCCTGTCATTGTCAGTGGGCAGACAGCATCACTATCACTGCTGTGGCTATTAATTGGGTCCTATTTTAGCTCTTTGCAGAAGAAACACAACCCAGGTAAGCTGATAAACTTTATTAAACCAACTTGTTTGTTTAAGGCTGAACTGAGATTTGGTGTGGGTGGGTGTTCAATTCTCTGAACTACGCTACTGTAGCAAAGCACTACCTGGTACAAAACAGTGACTGCTATTTCATAGATCAGGTGTGTACACTGTCCTGACAGTCCACATATTCCCAGGACTCTAGCCCATTCTGGTCTCCTGCCGTCACCCCAAGGATCATCAGTATGCTATATATCTCATGAGAAAATATATCTCATTTTGGAGGGGCAGAAGAAGGAGCACAGGAAGCTTATTTACCCCAAATCAGCCCTGGTTTATCTACTTTAGCATGGTCTACAGCAGCCTTCCTTGAAGGCTTCCACCAAGATGTCTCCAAGTACCAAGGTTGCAGGAGTAGTGGCATACATTTCCCAGCAGATGCTGGCTTGCTTGAGGAATTCTGTGAGTCAATCCAGACCCTGCACCAGAGAATCATAGAACTGTAGGGTTGGTTGGACCTCAAGGGTCACCTCATCCAATCCTCTCCAATGCAGGAATCAAAGCTAAATCATACTGCTGGTAATGATAGGAGCTACTCTGAGGAGATGTTGCCCAACAATGACTCTGCAGCCGGGCCTAAGGTAATCAGTTTGTTTAACTCTACTGCAGGCTCCCGATGAGGAGTTTTTCATGGTTTTGAGACTGCTTCTGCTCCTATTCAGTGGCCGCCTCCATCACCTCCTCCAGAAAATGGAAGTCCATCTTCTGCCATCAGATTTGGCGAGCCAATGTGGTCTCTGCTCACTTTGCCTAAGTAGATCAAGGCCATTAAAGGTGTCCTCCAGATGTTCTGGTCTACAGCTCCTACCTTCCAAGACTGGGACTGATGAAGGTCTGGGAGAAGGCTGGTTTACACCAGTTCTATTCTGAGCTTCTCCCCACACACACTGCACAAGAAGCCAGCACACTGCCTGCACCCAAACCATTTTTTAACCAAAAGAAAGAACATGAAGGAGGGAAGAGAAAATAAGAATTAAGAGAGAAGGAGACAAGAAGGAAGAAGAAATAACAAAGATACTGCACAAAACATGTCTAGCTGCATGTTTGAAGATGCCCTGGTTTATGTTGACTGGCAGGAATCTTTCCTAGCCCTACCTAGAGATACCAGGGACAGACACTGAGAGCTTCTGCCATTGCACAATGGCCCTTCCCTGAGCTAAGGCCCTTCCAAATGCTTCCAGGGACGTGCAGCCAGGCCAGATGCAGAGGCTAGGTGAACAATTCCACAATGAGCGGGAGTAACAGTGGTAGCAGTCTTTAGACCCCTGCTGCTGAATCTGTTTTCCAAACAAAGATAAACTATTACTTTCCCTCTTTTTCTTTGAATGCACCCTCCATGAACCACTGACAACCCAATCTGTACCTATACCTGAGCAAAACCCATTGACTATAACAGAGATAAGCTGATTTACACCAACAAGACCCTAGCCCCCTGCACCTGCTCCGAAGCAATTCTTCAGAAAAGTGGCTTTCCATTAGCTGACGCAGTGGCTTGTCCCAGGCTCTTTTAAGTCCAGTTGATAAGTGGCGCCATCAGAAGGGATACAAAGGGGCAAGCGCTGCTGTTAATGTCAGTGTCGTTACAAAGGATATTCAGCAGCAAGAATATAGTGCTGCCA